AATTATTAATTAATTATTTTTTTTATGGAATTCAGGCAAGTGTAGTGCTTGAATACAGTGACAGGCATTTATCATGCCTGTCGCCATAAGTGCTAATTTTAGGCATACTAAATATGCCTAAAATTTGACATACTTATGGCGACAGGCATTAATAATGGCTGTCGCCATAGGTTTCTAATTTCAGGCATATTTATTATGCCTGAAATTAGACAAATTTAATTTACATATATATTTCTAATAAAATATTTATAAAAATTAAAATAATCTTAAGTTTATTAATAATTTAAATTTAATATCTCTGAATTCAGACACATATAATATATCTAGATTTTTATGGAATTCAGGCTTGTTTAGTGCCTGTATTGGATGTACGATAACATGCCTTTATCACACCTGTCGCCGTAAGTGCTAATTTTAGGCATAATAAATATGCCTGAAATCAGATATACTTACGTTGACAGGCGTTAAGAATGCCTGTCGCCGTAGGTTTATGATTTGAGGCATATTTATTATGTCTAAAATCAGACAAATTAAATTCACATATATATTTATAATAAAATATTTATAAAAATGAAAATAATCTTAGTTTTAAAAATAACTTAAATTTAATATGTCTAAATTTCAAATTGAGACACATTAAATATATATATATATATATATATTTCATACAAATTTATATTTTTTAATAATTTAAATTTAAAAATTAAATTAATGATATATTTTAATTACGTTATTTGTTTAATGGCTTGTCAAATCATTTATGGCGACAAGTGGATTGTATATCTGTGGCCATAAATCTTACATTTTTCACCTTATTTATATTTTTGCCACTATAACTTATTTTACCACAATTTTTCTATAAATTGTGGTGAAAAATATGTAATTAAAATAATATTTTGTACTAGTGAAAGGAATATAATTGTTTTATGTTTGGTTACAATCACAAAATTTTTTTTACTTACAATTATTATAAGAACAATATATATTTGAATATTAATATTAACATACATCCTAATTGTTTTATGCTTTTTACTTAAAAGAAAAAAAAACTTAAAAAAAATTTAAATAAAAATTGGATAGCATAACGTTATAAAAATGAAACTTTCCAATGCATTTTGCCTCATTTCAATCACAACACCATCAACAACAACAACAACAATATATAGTATTTTAAGCTAAAAGACACACATGAGTAATAATTTTGAGTAAGCTCAAAGTACTCATACATAATTTCAATTAATATAAAACTTCATACATTACTCAACTATTAATTAAAGAATCAAATGATAAAAAACTTTCCAATCAAATCACTTAAATATTGTTCAAACAAAAAATACACAAAAAATGGGTCATAAATTTGGATAAAAATAAAAACTTTATATAACTCTCATCTAAACAAATATTATTAGTCTAACACATATCTTAAACTTATCCATAACTTAAATTTCATATGGGTTTTGGCTAAAGATAATTTTTTTCTGAGACATTTCATCAAATACCTTATGGGTGTTACTAATAACACACCAAATCAACATAATGCAATCTGATAAACCCAAACCAAATCAAAAATCAACCATGCCTAATCAATTCCAAACAACAATCAACCACAAAAATCCACTTAAATGGTTTCAGATAGCACTCAAGAGATTAAGAAGAAATATGAAGAAATAAGGAGAGAAGAGGCAAGCACTTATGGACTGTAGAAAATGAAGTTAATGAAGAGGAAGAGTAAATGCACGCAAGCTTGAGGAATATTGAAGAACACAAGCTCTAACAAAGAAGATGCTGCTTGGCCGAGAGGAGAGAAACCAAAAAACATAGGAGACAAGGCACGGAGAAGGAGCTACAAAATTGAAATCTGATCTGAAATGGAGGGGAAATGAATAAGTTAAACGTATATTGGACGGTTATCCACTTAACCGTCCAATAAACGTGCAACATATTAGACTGTTATACACAATAACCATCCAATATCTGTGTCAAAATAAAAAATAGTAAAAAATTCAAAATTCAAATCTTATATTGGACGGTTCTAAGGATAACCGTCCAATATATCAGTAAATATTGGATGGTTGACAGCAAAACCGTCCAATATTCATTCCTGCATAGGTTTATTGGACAGTTTATCATCTAACCATCTAATAAACCTCGTCATATATTAATAAATTTGCAGTAGTGGATATTTATTGTTTTAAGTAAATATTTTATTAATAAATATTTATTCAAATTTCAACAACAACTCAATTTAAATTAAACAGTCTATTCAAATTTTTTTATTTAAAATTTAATCATAATTAATTTTTAATCGACATAAATTGTTTTTAACGATCCTTTATTACTATTTTTCTTTAAAACTTTAACTCATGGGAAATACAGACATGATAAAGAGATCATAGAGGTGATTGAGGAGACTTTCTGCTAGCATTTATAACTGACGATGCACAACTGTGTAATGGGACACCACTGTTAGAAGATAACCCTTTTTTTTTTTTGGAACAACGAGAATTTTTTTTAATAATTTTCAATTCATCTGAAAATCTTCACCATGTCTTTATCAACAAAATAGAACTCATTTGGGATGTGATACTCTGTTAAGTCTATGACCATGCATGCCTTCTTTCTACTGTTATTTTTAAACATATGCATTTCAAGGGCTTTTTAATTTCTTAGATAACCTTTCAATTAGTTTTACAATTTGTTAAACTCTTTCTTATGTTTATATTGGTTTCACGTAAATTTCTCTAGCTACTAACCTTCAAAACCTCTACGTAGAGCTTCGTAAGAAACAATTAGATTATTTGAAGCGACTTGGACAGCAAAAGGAAGCGAGAGAAGTTTTAGAAATAAAAAAAAAAAAGTTGGAAAATAAGCTGCCCACTCTGATTCATCACTGCAGGGACAGAATATTAAAGCCAACAAAGTTTGAGACACTAAATCGTAACGAGTTAAATTTAAAAAATTAATTTATAATTGAGTTAAATATTGAAGGACTAAATTAAACAACTAGTCCTATATTTTATCATAATATACACACAGCAAACAAGTCTTTTTATGGCCTTTTAGAATAATTTAGCCATAATGTGATCCTTCATGATAAATACGTTGCTACTGTAGTCTCAACTTTAATTTTACCTTCACAATAAATTGTTGTTTTTTTAAACAAAATAAATAAATGACGGAGACGAAAATACAAGAACAGCATCGCCCTTTAATCCCTAAAGTTTGAATTTCTTTTTTAAAGTGACTAGTCATAATGACATCCATGGTAAAGTTACAGTAAATTCCACCAAACTTGTATGTCTGGAGAAGGAAACGTGTAGAGTGTAAAGCTTACTCTCACACACCTATATCTGTGAAAAGGAAGACTTGGGTTCAACCTATGACCTTTTTATTTTTTGGTTTAAGTGCTCATAAGCCATTTTTAATTAATTATATCAGTAGAATTAAAAAGAACTATATAGATAAATTGATGAGTAAACAAAATTCTAATTTATTTTATTAAGTGTATCATAGTAAAAAATATTTTATTTCTTGTATATGATCTTTTAGTCTAGTCATAAAAACTTGTGGAAGAGTAAAATTTTTAAAAAGTAATTATCGAATGATTTTTATATAAATTCACTTATAAAAACGATAATAAGTTCCTTCTAAAACATGTATCAGGCTACTGCATAATTTCTATAGTATAAAATTTGTCTTTTCTTTTTTAAAAAAATGATAGAAAAATATTTTTAAAATACGCGAATGACAATAAAATCTTACAAAATGTTATAATTCTTTTCAAATTTCCAAAGACCTTTATGATATTAATAATTTTTGGTAAACTATCTAAAATATTCTCAATTTAAAATAAAAATAAATATTAGTGACTATTCTAATTTATGTAATAATTACTTTTTTTTTACAATAACTATAATGGAACAAGTAATTATAACTTTCCTCATACAAATTTTTTTATTAACTAAAGTCCAAGTGTTATAACTACTTTAGTTTATGTCACACCCCAGTACTAAAAGTATGACCAGCACAAAATATGAGATAGACTCATATTTCATAAGCCTTTATTAACTATAGATTAAGCTAAAATATTGATAATTAATTTATATATATAATTATGAAGTTTGTAAAATCTTAAATATTTTGTAAAAATTTTAGCAGAATCTCTCTTGTAATTTGGACCTCTTGAAATTTTTACAATAACAAAACCTGTCAGCCAATCTATCAAAGGAGACTGGCTTCACACTAACAGATTATATATCAGCAAAATAAAATTAGGACCTAACTACGGCATACATGAAGTACTAACTATTATTGTATAATATAATGAATATATACGTTAAAATAAATGATTGAAGCATGCTTCTGTCGCTCAAAAGCAATAAAGCCCCTTAATGATTAGCATTTATAGGGTCAATTACATTATCTGAAGCTAAAAAAATTTTCTAATGAGTAACATACCAATCAAAATTATAGATAAAACATGTAAAAGTAGCAATTAATAAAATTTAGTTTAAAATACATCAATGAAATATTAAAACACATTTAATTTAACTAACAATAAATGACAGACTTGCTCAACAACATCTAGAAATAAACCAATAATTTTAAAATTTTATAAGTTATTAAGAATCATACAACGAATAAAAATATAGAAAAAGAGTTCGAATGATCATATAATAAAAAACAAAAAAAAAAAGAAAAGTTTGTAAATAACTAATGTAAAACAATAAATTTTTAAATCGAATCTAGGAGGAAATTTACAATATGAAATTATATACGATCAAATAACAATTTGTTTAATAGAGTAAATTTAAAAATAATAAATTTTCAAAATTTCACATTTTAGTGAAACTTAATCAGAATGATTAACAAGCGTGAACACACAGTCTATGAGGGTAAGCCACCAACAAACACAGCTTTCTACGAGGGTAAGCCACCAACAAACACAGCTTTCTACGAGGGTAAGCCACCAACAAAACAAGCATGAGTACTATACTCACAAATATCCATCCCTCCGTTCCACGTGCATTGGCCTGCGCACGGGACTAACACCTCCTACAAGTACCTTGCTAGCTAGGTGTGCCATAGCATGTCAAGGGTTTACGGAATTACCATTAGCATCTAGCATTCTAAACTCAGTTCCCCTAATTAAATCAAGCGTGCATAGAATTAAAACATTCATTTAAAGTGATTTCTTTCAACATATGATATTCAGCTCTCAAATTTCTTTTCAATTTTTTTTCATGCACGAATCACCATGTTAACCACTATTATATAAATCATAAAATTTAAACAACAGAAATGCTTAGAACAAATAATTAATTAATAATGCAACATATTCAAACATTCTTTAATAATAACATAATTCTTAATAAAAATAAAACATATTATATAATGAACCAGTTAATATAAAAGTGAGGTAAATAAGAAGAATTGTATAAATTATAAAAATAAAATTAACAAGAATATTTATACAACTTATAATGAAATAATATAAAAATTTAAATAAATACTTTGCAAGAATTTATTTGAGACACTACCCACTCACTTGAAAATTTTTTCAAGAATTCTAAAGTTTACTTCTCTACAACTTCTCACTTATATCTCAAATGATTCTATAATTTTTTTAATAAATAAATTATGATTCTAAAATTACTTATCAAGGAATTTTTTGAACACTTGATGAGCATTTAAATTCAATCCAAAACCACATCACAACCTAAAATATAGAATCAATTAGTTCATTATCAATTTATTAATTTATTAATAACCTAACCAAAACAAGAGAAACATTTCCATTTTTTTTTTGTACCTTCTCAAAGCTTAATAAAATACCACAACCATTATTTAACATAATCTACCTTAGGTACTTTGAGATTCCAATTTAATGACTCAAATAATTATTTAAGCATGTTCCCCTAAGACTCATAATATAAAAATTTAACAACTTACATTCCAACAAATTCCTCTCTTATACATCTCTAGCCTGACACCATATTGCCTATAAATTCAAACAATCATACACATACATCATTAAGCTTCAATTTTGAAATTGACATCTTTATCCAATCTAAAATACTCTTTTAGACATTATAACAAACACTTTGTAGGCACCCAAGTTGAGCCATAAATAAACATCTCATTAATCCAAACTTTGCCGTCAACACGAATCATCACAATACAACTTCCAAATCAAATTCCATTCAGTGGCAAATTCCAATAAATAACCTCAACTTGAATATTTAGAATCAATATATTCACTTAATCAACAACGAAAAGAAGAGATGTAGGCTTACCGTTGGATGAATAAACAAGAAAACAAGTGGTTGAATTCCAGGAGTTCCTCACGGCAGCCACACTCACAAGGAAGCCAGAACTGATTTCAAAAATAATCACAGGGAGGAGACGCTGATCGAAAATTGAGGGAGTTAAGGATTTGAACTAACACAGCAAACAACAATGAAACAAGAAGAAAAGATGAGCTTACCAGCAACTGAAAAGAAGGAAAAATGAAGATCAAACACACCCACACACAAGTATTGACACAGGGCAGAGGAGGAGGACGACAGGGGATTCACTCCACACACACGAACCGCCAAGAAGGAGAAGAAAAATCGAACACTCACCTTCCTAGACACGTAGATAGCTGGAGGAAAAGAAAGAAAGAGCAATATTCAGGATGCTCCGAACCACTGCCGCGCACCCCACGCCAACGGAAGTTACAGAGCAAGATGAGGAGACCGAACTAGTGGAGATGAAAGGAGAATGCTGATAGAAGAAGGGAAAGAGAAGGGAAAGACGATGATCGGAGGCACAACACCAAGAGAGCACCAGGAAAATTGAAGTGGAACGAAGGGAGATAGCAATGGGAACGCAAATGAGTCGAAGGGTCCAGAAATTTTCCTCCTCATGCGTGCGTCTGGCCGAGAGGGAAGAACAAAAATCTGAACATTAGAAAATTGCAAAAATGATAAGAGAGGGCACAACATTTTTCCCTAATTACATAAAAGACACGGGCCCTTTGATAATTTGCCCATAATTTTAAATTAAATAAAATTAACTTTTTGCTCAAAAAAATTCAAACTCTGAATCTTCATATAAGCTATCCATATAAATTTTACTAAATCAACACTCTCCATTTTTTATAAAATTAATTTAAATAAAATATAAATTAGGAGAAAATTTTTTATTTAATTTAAAATTTAAAGTCATTACAGTTTAAGTAATGATTAGAATAGACCAAGCAATTACAACTTCTCCTATGTAAATTTTTCATGCACTAAAATTGTAATTTACATGGAAAAATTTGTAATTGCTTAGCTTGTTCCATTCTAGTCATATATAATGCTAGTTTGTTGGATAAATTAGCCACTGTTCAAAAAAAAATCTCATACCCAAAAAATATAGATAAAATTTTTAAAAATTTCAAAATATGGCCAATTCATATTGATATAGAAGGAGTTTAAAGGTATATTGTTAACAAATATAATAAAAATGTTATAATGCAAAATATAATAAATGTTGGATTGTTTATTTAGTTTATTCTTATAATATATGTTACATCTGCAAATGCCCCTAGTTTGTTTTTATTTATGTTGCTACTAAGTCATCTTTTTCAAATATGTTTGTATATAAGTGAGAGAACATTTCCAGATCTATGAATGAGGCATTAGATAGTGGTGAACCTTCGGTCTTTTTCTTTTTTATTTTTATATGATATTGTTCTGCTTTCAATATTTTTTTTTTCGAGTTTGCATTTAGAAAAAGAAGAATGACAGAAAAATTCTCTTGAAATATATAAATGACAATGAGCTTCCACAAAATATCATAATTCTTTTTAAAACCTAAGAGACCTTTCTAGCATTAATAATTTTTGGTGAAATAATTAAAATACCTCTAATTTAAAATGAAATGAAAAGACAATTATAACTCCCAAAAAAAGTAAGATTACTTTAGTTTAAGTAATAATTATTTTTTTAGTAATGATTAGGATGAAACAAGCAATTATAACTTTTTCTGTGCAAATTTTATATTAACTAAAATTCAAATGTTGTAAATATCTGTGACTACTTTAATTTAAGTAATAACTACTTTTTTCTGGCAATGATTAAAATGAAATAAGCTATTACAACTTTCCTTGTGCAAATTTTTTATTCACTGAAGTCCAAGAGACATAAATATTAGTGGCTATTTTGGTTTAATTAATAACTATCTTTTAGCAATGACTAAAACAAAACAAGCAATTACAATTTCTCCAATATGAATAGTGAGCAAATGTATAGAGGAAGTTGTAATTATTTATTTTGTTCTAATCATCATTAGAACAAAAGTAGTTATTGCTTAAATCAAAGTAGTCACTAATATTTATTTTTTAAGGCCAGGGTTGTTGCATTTTTTATTTTAAATAATTAAAGGTACTTTAATCATTTACTAAAAATTATTAATGTCAAAAAGATTATGAGAGATCTAAGAAATATTATGGTATTTTGCAAGACTTCATTGTCTTTTGCATATTTGCATATTCTAAAGAAATTTTTCTATTATTTGATCTTTACAAAACTATTTCCACTTTTTTGGTTGGGGGTTCTTCAGAGAATTGCTTTTTTGGTGAGTTTGTTAATTCAGATTAACAATTTGATGGGAGCGATGAGTTATAGTGATTTTATTTTTGATAATTTTTTATTCTAGAGATTTAAAATTGGCTTCTATTCAACGCATCATTGAAGAGGGAACAAAAAGCTGGCTAACAGGGAAGCTAATTTTAAATTAATATAATGTAATTGTTTTTATAAAAAGATCAATTAAATAAAATAAAAATAGCTTACAAAGCATAAGTCTAAGTAACCATAAAATGAAAAGGGGAGAGAGAAAATGATCTATCATGGAAAACATTAAAGCAAGAAAGAGTTGGTCTTAATGGATGAAGAGCATTTCCCAAAAAAAATAAAAAAAACTCATAATAGGTTCAGAGTTGATGTGCAAGATAACAATACAACAAACACTATCATTTCTTTTAAACTTGATCATCCTGATATTTCAATTCTAAATAAGGAGTACTGTCGGATGACGGTTCCAAACACAATTAAGTGGATTGAAGCTATGTAAAGAACTACTTCTATCACTAATATCATACCAATGACATATATAAAAAAAATAGTGACATTATATTGACTGTGAAATTTCAATAAAATTTGACTAAGGTGATGCATAATCTCATTATGAAAAGAAAGGTTTCTCTTTTGCCAAATCAAATTGAGGAGTATAATAATACCTCTTAATTGAAGATCAAGCTCATCTTCATGTAAGTAAGAAACCATAGAAACAATTTAGTTAGACAATCCAACAACCTCAATATCTGAGAAGTGGATAGAGAAAGCACCAAACTATATGACAATACTGATTTAGAATTAGGACATCTAAAGACACATTAAAATTATAAAAATGTAATTTTTTGTCATTAAATATATAACCCCAAGGATGATTAAAGGGGTTTGAGCTTTCCCCCTAAGAACGTAACAAGAAAAAGGGGTTTGAGCTTTAAAGCTTGAACCTCCGGATTGAGAGAAATGATGGCTTTCATTACTGCATTTGCTTTATACTTTTAATTTTAAAAATAAAAATAAAAGGAAAATATAAAGAAGATTGAGAGAGGGAATATGCCACAACAAAAGATGAACACGTCATGCAAAAAGACAACATGTACGGTAGTGATAGTTTCCAATTAAATGGAAAAGTAGTAATTATATACTTAATTATTTATTCGGTGGAGAAAAGTATTTGAATAGGAACAAACACCATTTCCTATTTTCTTTTTCTTTTTCTTTTGTCTTTATGGAAGCACCATTTTCTATACAAGCTTTTACATGTCTTTACGCTTGCTCTACTTATTTTAAATATCCTCTTCATCTTAAATTATAAAATATTTTAAATAAAAATAAACATACTAATAAAATTTATTAAATATATTTTATAACTTATTTTTAAAAATAAAAATATAAATTTTTAAAAATATTCTTAATTTAATATTTCATTTATAAAATTAAATTTGTTTTGCTCAGAATTCAACAGGTATTCTTAATTTAATATTTCATTTATGGAATTAAATTTGTTTTGCTCAGAGTTCAACGGATCCTTTATTTCTTTCTTGCCCATTGTTTGTGTCTTAAGGGAAAACCATCAATAGTGGCCATCGGCCTTAGGTTCAATTCCTGAGATTTGATTTTTTTTTCCTTCTAAGAAGACCCGTTCCCAGTATTTGGAAACATGAGTGTAGAAAATATTGATTGATATGCTTAATGCTCAGATTAATATATCTGGATATTTTGTTATATTATTTGGGTTAGTTTATTTGTTTTAGGTGTGTTTCTTATTCTGGGCTTTTATATATAGTGTGCCCCCTCTTGTATCTCGTTTACGTTTCCTGTTCCAAAACCCAATGGGTTCAATAAGAGTATTATTCAGCAAAGTGATTTTTTATATGGTACGAGAGCCTTAGCTCGTGACCTGACCCACTTTGAATCTATTTGATCCTTTTTTTTTTATCTAAATCTTTCATCTTTTTCGGCTAACCCTAATTCTCCTTTCAAGTCTGCTCATCACCTTCATGCTTGTGTACGAAACAAAGTCCACACACAAACCTTCATTGCTGTCTTTCTGCAATCTTTCTATGAAAGACGACGTTGTCCGAACAAGAAGGCATCAAAGACGCCTCCAATCACAACGTCGCCACTCCTTTAGATCTGAATCATCCCTTGTATCTTCATCCTTCAGAGACGCAGATGACTACACTGTTATCCGAACCTCTAATCAGAACCACAAACTATGCAAAATAGAGTCGAGCCATGAAGATGGCTCTCTAAGCAAGAAACAAGATCGGTATTGTTGATGGTTCCTACAGACGAGATGCCCAAGATCCCACTCTCCCACTCTCTATGCACAGTGGGATTGTTGCAATGTTGTCATACTCTCATGGTTGGTTAACTTTGTATCTAAGGAAATTTCAGCTAGCATCACCATTTTAGAAAACGTGAATCTCATTTGGGAAGATCTCCAAGAACGCTTCAGTGTCATCGATGGCTCCAAGATTTACAGCCTACATCATTTAATCAACTCTCGCACACAAGAATCGATGTCAGTATCAAGCTATTTTACGGGATTGAAGGAGTTATGAGAGAAGTATTCTACAGTTGTGCCTTTACCTAATTGTAAGTGCAATTCCTCTCTTGAATATGCAAAGACTGTTCAACAACAAAGGTTATTCCAGTTTCTTATGGGACTCAACTCATCATACTAACACGTTTGAAGTTAGGTTTTGTTGATGCACCCAACAGTCAATTACGCCTATTCACTAGTCTGCCAAGAAGAGATGCAGCGCAACTTAACCCTTCCTCCACATAGCCTGAGTAATGAAGGCTTTGCCATGGCAATTAGAAGACGTGGTAGGTTCAATAGAGGATAAGAACGGGCAGGTTCATCTAAAGAATGTATATATTGTCACCAAGAAGGCCACAAATGAGGCAATTGCTATCATTTAGTAGGATTCCTACTAGGCTTTGGCAAAGGAAGAGGCACTCAGGATCGACAAGTCAACACGCAAATACCCCTTCTACTAATTTAGTCCCATCTAATCACAAGAACGTCAACTCCTTTCTTAACAAGACTATATATAATAATATTCTCAAGATACTGCACCAGGATACCAAATCCATCCCTGTTGGTGCTGTGACTGCAAATGACTCGAAAGAGTCATCAGGTTCAGTTTACAATATTTTACCTATTATAAATTCAATTGCACATATTTCAAATATGCATAAAGCACAATGGTTGTTGGATTTAGGGGCCATTGCACATGTTGTTAGTTCATGAAATGTTTTAGATAAGTACACTAAATATATTAGCCCCTTATTAAAATACGTATCCCAAATTGAGAAAAACTACCTATCACACACAGAGGATCCATCACATTGTTTGATAATATAGTCCTAGACAATGTTCTATATGCAACTGGAATATCTTATGATCTAGTTTCCATTTCATATCTCACTTCAAAACTCAATTGTGTTGTTGCTTTCTTTCCTGATGTATGTGTCTTATAAGATCTTTATAATGAAAGCACCAGGATGATTGGTAAAATAGATTCTGGACCTTACATTGTTGAAGAGATTGACATTCCTATTTGTAATTCTTCTGTTCCTAGCAATGAATTTTGGCACCTTAGATGAGGCCATGCCTTGTTTCATGTTCTTAGACATCTTAGTGCTTTGAGATATGAATTGTCTTCTACTAATAGTGATAAATGTGATATTTGCTTACAAGCAAAGCATCCATGACTGCCCTTTCCTGATATTAATAATAACACTGTTCATTATTTTGATCCCATTCATATGGATGTCTGGGGTCCATATAAGGAACCCACACACTAAGGGTATAGATATTTCTTAACTATTATAGATGATAAATCACTTGCAACTTGGGTGTATTTGTTAACTAATAAATTTGAAGTAGTTTATCATATTAATATTTTCTTTGCCTATGTACAGACTTAATTTTCTGCTCCCATAAAAAAGGTGAGAACAAATAACGAAACTGAATTTGTTAATAATGATGTGTCTACTTATTTTTTGAATAATGGAGTGATTCATGAAACCTCTTGCGCTTATACACCTCAACAAAATGGGGTAGTTGAAAGAAAACATCAACATATTCTAGAAGTTGCTAGGAGCTTTATGTTTGAAGCTAACCTTCTAATTAAGTTGTGGGGGAAAGTATTAGAGCTTCCATTTACCTAATCAACAGAACACCCTCTAGGGTCATCAATTACAAAATCCCATATGAAACAGTATATCAAAAACAACTTGACTTGAGTCATTTAAGGATTTTTGGATGCTTAGCTTATGCCAAATTTTTAAATGGACTAGATAAATTTCATCCTAGGTCTAAACCTTGCATCTTTTTAGGATATCCTAATAATCAAAAGGGGCACCTTCTTTATAACATTGTTGAAGATAGACTATTAATTAGTAGGGAAGTTGCTTTTCTTGAAAATAAATTCCCTTACAAAGATAAGGCCTTAATAAATTCAAGCTAGGGGGAGACTCTCTAAATAAAATTGTTAATCCTTTTTTATTTGACTCTTCATTGGATAATTATCAAGTTGTTTTCTAAATAGAAGGGTAATAATTTAGTTTTAATTTTGGCCTATGTAGATGATTTACTTATTACTAGAAATTCTAATTTTTTTTATTCAACAAACAAAATATTATCTTCACAGTAACTTCAAAATGAAAGATCTAGGCCCTTTGAAATATTTCCTAGGTTTGGAAATAGCTAAATAAAAAAAGGGGTTGTCTTAAACCAAAGAAAGTAAGCTTTATATCTAATTAATAGTACTGTGTTGAGTGCTGCCAGGCCAAGAAATGTTCTTATGGGTCAAGGTCTAAAGTTGTATTGTGAACCTAAAAAGGGGGAGGAAGATCCTCGTTTACCTGATGCAATTAGATATAGACGGTTAATTGGTAAAATGTTGTATCTAACTATGACTTGTCCAGATTTGAGTTTTATTGTGCAAGTGTTAAGTCAATAGATGAGTGATCCTAGAAATTTGCATACGAAAGCAGCCATGAATGCAGTTAAATACCTAAAGAAAGATCCTGGCTGAGGCATTTTCTTTGCCTCTAGTAGAGGAATGGTTCTTGAAGGATATTTAGATTTTGAATGGGGAGAATGTGCAGACACTCGAAGGTTTGTAGCAGGGTATGTCATCAAAATGGGAGGAATGCCCATTGTGTGGAAATCAAAGAAGCAGACAATACTTTTATGTTCTTTAGCGAAAGCAGAATATAGAGCCTTAGGAAGTATTGTAGCAGAAATTACCTGGCTGGTTGGTTTGTTGAAAGACTTGAAGGTTGAGAATCCTCTTCCCATTCCAATACATTATGATAGCAAGGGAGCAATTCAAACTGCTTCAAATCTAGTATTTCATGAATAGACAAAACATATTGAAATTGATTGTCATTTTGTTTGTAGGAAGATTTAGGAAGGGTTGATTAAATTGCATGTGTCTTCTTCAAATCAACAGGCAAATATCTTTACTAAAGCTTTAGGTAGATCAGGTCACAAGAGAATGTTAACCAAGTTAGGAACCATAAATATTTTTGGTTCTAACTTGAGGAGAAGTGTAGAAATATTGATTAATAGGTTTAATGCTCTAGATTAATATCTCTAGATATTTTGTTTTATTATTTGGGTTAGTTTATTTGTTTTAGGTGTGTTTCTTATTCTGGGCTTTTTATATAGTGTGCCCCATCTTGTATCTCGTGTACATTTTCTGTTCCAAAACCCAATGGGTTCAATGAGAGTATTATTCAACAAAGTGATTTTCTATAATGAGTGTGAAACAAGTGCCAATTTCGCAACCTCAAGCTGTAAATAGGAAATTGATTGAAGAAACATATTTCTCAATAGGCTACGAGAATTGGCGAAACAAGAGAGCCAAAATAGACATGAGACGATGACGATTATGGGACTTATACTGTGAGCACAGCTGCAGCGTTAGTGGTTCAGGCTGCAAGCCTCTTTCGGAAAGTCGACTAGGCAGAAGTTGAGATGAAGCCTTTGCGAGGAAAAGAAGATTGAACAGTGGCAATGATAAAAATTTTTTTGGCTTGCATAGTATTAATGTGTGGTGCCTATCTGATATGTGTAGAACTTTACAATTAAATCAATGATCAACATTTGTATCTGAAGGTGATATTCTACCATTTTTAAAAATGTTGGAGTGCCATTGCACCATTAAATACTTTTAGGATACTAATTATGCCATGCTATATACTTCCAAAGTAGATTTATACTTTAATCCTAAAGTAATTAATGATCCATCATTTTATACGAAGTCACTTATAAAAAAAGACCATCAATTCCTTCTAAAAGGTAACTTATATATAAGATTGAAGGGAGACAATACTCAGCATTATTACCGCGATATAACACGACTACCTAACTTCTAGTCCATTCATTATTTCTAATTATAGAGTAAAGTTTTAAAGATCTATGTGGTCTTAAACATAGGGTAAAGATGTAGTAGTTATTTTTTCCCCTATAATGCCCTCCTTAATTGCATCAAGTTGTAATTCTTATATTTAAGACCACAAAGGTCTTTGAAAAAAGAATTGCTCAAGTTATAATTCCTAGATATACTTTATTGTGATCATTACTTTTTAGTTAAGGACAAAATTGAAAATTCAAATATTTATTACAAGTTTAAAGATGTTAATTGGAAATTAGTTAACTTTTTACCGTAATAGACCAAGAGGGAGTATATACCATTAGTTACACAGACTATAAAATTTAAAAGCTTTCTTGGAATGCAGAGACCCACTCACAAAGAAGGTTTACCTTAACCTAAACCAGATTGAAAAGTCACATTGAAGGACCGCTGGAGCAAATTAATTGTGAAAAAAGGGTCAAAGGATTTTGAATTATTCACTTAAAGTCCCAGCTAAGATCTGATATGAAAATAAAATTGAAAGAGAAAAGAAGAAAATAAATTTTTTGAACTTTAATTGGTAAAATATTATTTTGACAAGAATGCATATAAAAAATGACAAGTAAAAACAACAGTTTAACAAGCACGAGTATGGGAAACACCAAGTGTAATATTCTAACAAGCCTTAAATCAAGAAATTGTTCCATTTCTAAAACATAATTATATTTATATTGGAATTAGGAAATCCTTGATAATTTTCATTTAAACAAAAGCCTTAATGTGTTTGCAAAAATTTCAGTAGTACCTCTTAGGAATTCTACAATACTATTTTAAAATAGAATATCACAGTAATTAGGAGTACTACTCCATCCAGCCAACGGACAGAGTATATAACAAAAATAAGAATCCTAACTATAGTTTATATGAAGCACCTAATTATATTTTTAAAATATAGTACATAAATTACATAATTACATCAAAAGGAGATATTTACAAAATAAATCTCCACCCAACTCAGCAAAAAGTTCCTTAGTGGTCAGTAGACGTACAATACTAGTCATACTATCTGAGATCAAACCAAATATTTTTCAATGAATAACGTTCCAATGTAAATTTAAAGAAAGTAAAAGGAGATAATTATATAAAAAAATATGAATTCCACAATAATAATCATTATCATAATAAAAACACATGTATCTTAGTTCAAACAATCATATATAAAAATGTAAAACCAAATATATAAATGATCGAGAGAAATCAAGTTCATTTCCAAATTATAACCTTTGCTTTAAACATTGAACTATATAAATTATCTCAAAAAAAAAAAAAATCCATGCACAGTCAAGTAGATAGCTTGTTAGAAAAACCAATTTTAAGACAGTAAATTTCAAAATTTCATATTTTATGGGACTCCATTAGAATGACTAATAAGCGTGAACATAAAGTTTATGAGGGTAAATAACCAATAAGCATAGACACACAGTCCATGAGAGTAAATAACTAATAAATGTGGCTAGAAACTATGAAACAAGCACAACAAGAGTCACGAAATAAGCGCAACAAAAGTCATGAAACAAGCATGGGCATAGGGCCCATAAAATAAGTGCGAGTATGATACTCACTATACCAAGCTAGCTAGGATTTAACAATGGCGTGCCAAGGGCTAACGGTATTCCCATTAACAACCAGCATTCTAATTCAATCTCACATTTTAAATCAAGCATGCATTTGTCAATGAAATCAATATATTATTTCTTTTTAACATTTCTCATCATGCTCAACATAAATGAATTCATTTGTATATATATCTCATGCATGGATCATGATAATTAATTGTTCTTTAAACATAAATCAACATTTCCAATACAGTTGATACTTTTGAATATTCAATTGAAAGATAAATCCAACTCTTTCTATAACAGATAATATAATATAATATAATATAATGAAAACATTTTCATGTATGATAGTTAATAATAAGATTAAGATCATGAACCATAAAAATAAATTAAAATACTCTATCATTTGTTCTTGCGGAACAAAAAAAGTCTTTACAAATAGAAGAGATGACACATGAAAATGCTAAATCAATATTTTTTATAACTTACATGAAATGTTCTGAAAGTAAAAGGTTCTCCCCCCCCCACACACACACAATATTTTGGAATCCAAAAT